CTAAGGGTTTAGGGTTTAGGACTCCTACTTATATGCGCTTAAGCCTATGGTTGTATTGGGGATATATTGGGACAATGGAAAAGAAAAGGGGAACTGCCGTTTAGGGTTCAGGGTTTAGGGTTTAGGGCCATATTCCCCTTAAGTAGATAGAATATGGCTCTGGGTATATTATATTTAGATCCCCATATACCCCATATTTTATGTTATTAAGGGAGACTACAAACCCTAAAGCGTGAGGACGGCAACTTCAGGGAAGACGTCTGGGCAACCTACGACTTAGACAAGTATGCGGCCCTCTGCAACATGGCCATGGTCTCAGGATCAGATACCTGGCCTTTGGTTGGCTGGGAATGGAGGCGTGAAAAAGAAGATGGAAATTGTTATAATGGGTTATATAGGGTTTAGGGTTTAGGAGGAATGGAAGAGAACATGGAAACTACTATAACGGGTTATATATGTTTAGGGTGTAGGAGGAATGGAAAAGAACATGGAAATGACTATAGCGGGTTTTATAGGAACTGCTGTGAGGATCCATCCCTTCATTCCTAGCTAGCCAAAGGCCAGATACTTGGAAATCAGGTTGGTTGCCCCCTCGGACTCTGAAAGGTGACCTCTGTTTCAAGGTCTCTGTTGAATATTAGGCATTGGTCGCCGGAGACGTCGAAGAGGACGAAAGAGATGTTTAAAAGTAGTAGATAGTAGTAATTAAGCCCCCAAGAGTAGGTTGCTGTCTACGGGCCAGATTCTGACTGAGACTCAACTTGGCGTTTCTCCTAAGCCCCAGACCCTAAAGCCTAGTTTTTCGGGCTCAATTGAAGGGACTGTGAGATTCCTAGAAAAGAGCAACGGATGCTAAGCCCTAGGGTATCGAAGTTCAATGGTTGGGGGCTCCCTGCTTTTGACTCCTTAGACCTCGCTGACAGCGAATTCGGGAAGCACCAGGCTAGAGTTTGATTTACATGCAGGTTGCTTCACGTATGTACCTGTAGCACATGAGCTAGGGTCTAAACTCCTAGCAACCCCCTTAATAGCCCTACAACACTTCCCTATATAATCCCTTATGTCACCCCCATTTAAAGGAGTTTAGGCCATGGCTCAGATGAAGTCAAGTACCCATCTAGAAGCTATCTGTTTCAACACCTGCCTGTTTCAACGAGGCGGTGAGCAAGCTCTACTTCTCTGTGGCTCGGCTGCCATTCTACCTGGTGCATAACAGGCTGTGAGGGAGTTGATCCCTATTGCAGTCTGCATGTGGGGGTCTCTCAATAGAGGGCCTACAAGATCTTATGGAGTCCCCACGAGAAATAATGTGTGGGTAGTTAGTTTTGAGAACCGTCAATTTGATCCCCAGTAACAATACCGATAATCCGCACTGCCTACTAGGCACGTCTACTAGCGTTTGTACCATTCACTTCCACAGTCCCTGCAAGGCATATTTTCGATATTTCCTAACGGCTTGCGAAATCAGGTGCCTTCTTCGGGTAAATGGTTTGAGAGGGGATTTTATGTAGGATGGCTGCATGAAGCCTGTGCATCAAAGCAACGAAGCAGAAGGAACTGTTGCGGCTTCCTTGTGAAATTGAGCTCTTGGATTTCTGCTTGTTGGGTCATCATTAGTAAGCCAAGCCGAGTCTAGTGCGTAGAGTTATGGATTGAGAGTTCTGAGTTACGCAGTTTTAGGAGTTCGTCCGAGTCCTTAATTTAAGCTCAGTGACATGCTAAAGGCAACAACCATGCCGGCGGAAGGCTTTATGTTCATATGAATCAAAAACTAGGTCGGAAGGGCAACTTTTGGCATTATATAGTTGTGAGTATAAGAGTTATGTGGCGATTTGGTTGGGAATGTTGCAGGGGTGACTCTGCAGATTACACGGGGATGAGTGCTGCAGCTATCAGAGGGGTAATATAAGTTGATGAAAAGGTCGGTTCCCCCGTCCCATGCAGGCGCCAGGTAAGTGGAAAAATGCCAGCTCCAGTGGTATCCAAGTTTTGAGCAACACGCCAAACGCCGGTTTGTAATCGTAGTAATGTGGTGCCGACGTTGGTATCAGTAGTTACCTTCACCAATCTTCTGGTGCTGATAAGCCAAATCCTGAATCCTGAGGCTTGAAACAAATACACAAAAACATGAACCAACGCCTCAAACCTAAACCCAACACCTGAAAGCTAAAAACATACCGGTTTTCAAAACTTTACCCGAAAGCCCCCAACCTTCAGCGCGCAGCCGCAAGCTCTCACATGCCTGTTGCAAACTAAGTGCGGGATCGTCTTCCTCTGGACAGCCCGGATGATATCCGAGGCGTCAGCCAAATAAGGTCTTTAACGATTTGGGGAGGTATGCAGCTTGTAAGTCAGGTGCTGTGCTGAAAAGGCTTCAAAGAAAGACTGCTTTTGGGGGTCCTTGTGCCCCAGAGCCTCCTATTTGTGGAAGGACAAGGAGGGCTCGCTGCCTTTTTACAGAGTAGCCAGTCTTCACATGCATGTGCAAGGTGCGTTGGATAGGAAAGATGTCACGAGGCTCGACGAGATGTCTTCCAAACATGCACAAGGCATTTGCAACCTTGGACGATTGGACAAAGGATCCCGTTAATGAAGCAAACGGACATGTTTTGTCAATTTGAAGAACAGGCGGGACCAAACCCTTACTGAAGGTACATAGGTTGCAACAACCCAAACAGGTTTAAAGTTAATGAGGCTGTGATGAGTGTAGACGCACCTAGCCGAGCCTTCTTTTCCGGCTGCCCCTCCTCCGCTCTCACGCAAGATTGCACCAGAAACCGAAACCCTAAAGTCCGAAACCTTGGAACCTTAGCCCTAAACAAGACGTGAACACTACACCCTTATAGGGCCCTGGCAGACAGAAGCTTTTAAGAGTTCATGTCCAGATCCGCGGGAGGTGAAGTCGTCCTTTCACCTGATAAGCAGCTAAGCTCATTCAGCTGGCAGGGGGGGGCGGGGGTAGTATTGCAAAGGTTCGGTTCTAAGTATCCACAAATAAATCCTACTGCTCTTCCTATTGCTACTGCTGCTGGTGCTGCTACTGCTGCTAGTGGTATTGCTCTGCTGCTGTCACTACTGCTGTGCTCCTCCTCCTCCTCCGCCTCCTCCTCCTGCTGCTCCTGATCTTCTCATTCCTCCTACCACTACAACGATTACGACAAGGTTTCGACGACTCAGGTCTCTACAACGAGGGACGATGACGACGAGGACGAGGACGACGAGGACGAGGAGGAGCAGGAGGAGGGACGGGGAAGGGCGTGGGAATGGGGGGGGGGGACTCCCCGTCCCCGTCGTCCCCGTCGCGTCCTCCAGTTCCCCCTTCTACAATCCCCACCTCCCCGTGCCATCCCGTCCCCATCCGCCGTCTCCGTCCCCGCCATTTCCGTCCCCATTGTCGTCCGCGTCCCTGTTCATCGTCTCCAATGTCTCCATCTCGACGGCAACGACAGGGACGTGGACGACGACGGGAACGGGGGACGGGGACGACAACAACGATAGGCACGGGGAGGACGACGGGCACGGGACGGGGACGACAACAACGAGCGACGACGACGTGGACGACGACGTCGTCGACAGGACGACGACGACGACGACGACGACAGGCAGGACGACGAGCACGACGACAACGAGGACGACAACGGGGACAACGACGGGGATGACGACCACGACGACAACGACAACTGCTACTAGTATACTTGTAGTTGGTAGACTCGTGCTACTGTCGGTGGTGCGACTACTAGTACTATTATGTTTTCGGGGCGACTGACCCACCACCCCAGCCCGTCGTTTCAGTAGCTTGTGAGGCTAATTAAATCTGTAGACTGGAGGTGTACGTTTGCAAATACACTCAGACAAGTACCTTCATGTTACCATAGAGCATGCGCTGCCCAGAGCATCCACACCACCGCAACATACCGCGACAGTCTGTGCACCCAGCAGGGCATGTTTTCGAACAGAGACTTGATGTTTTTTTTCTCGAGACTGGCAAGCTTTCATTGTCCTGATCTTTGCTTGCCTCATGGTATGTTCTGTTTCACCAACATCCGAACCCATCAATGCTATGAGGAAGCGCAAGTCTTTCGCGCAAATTGGACCGCTTGTCAACAGACATCTAAGCAAGAATACCCAAAGAATAACCGCATTCTCACGTTTTCGGAATGCGCAAAAGATTTGGGGGGCATGTCAACCGCCTACCTTGTTTTGGAGTATTGCAGGCGGGTTCGAGGTTTAGAGTTTCGGGATTCAGAGATTTCTGCTACAGGCCAGCTGGGAGAGCGAGGATCCTCCGCTATGTCGGCCCTGAGTTGGAGTGGTTTCATGCTTGCAGGTACTTTCTCAGTTCCCAAGACAATAAAGCCTTGGGCTATAGCCTGAAACGCTTGCAGCCGTAGGTGGATGTTTTTTTTGACCCAGTCTGTGTTATCCAAAACATTCAACATTATGGGGCCCTTGTAGGTGGATGGACGATCCTAGCGTTAGGACCTCAATCATAGAGTCCTGGAAAAAGCACTGCTGACATTAAGTGTGATTACACGATGTTTGCCTTCCACCTCTTACAAAAGTCATGAGCTGGTTGGAAACTAAACCAGACTAAAACCAACCTGGCGGCGTGGACCTTTGCCATTTTCATTCTAACGACCTCCAACGCGGAACCACTGAGTTTGAGAAGCCCTGATTTTTTTTTAAGAAGTCTAACTAGCTTAGGTGACCTCTACAATGTACCGCAGCTTCCTGCGTCTGCAACAGCGAGGGATATGGTGTACCAGGCAGATGGGCACCTACGGTGAAGTTGACACCAAGATCAGATTAGGATGTGGGCTGCGAAGTTTACTTGCAATCCCTTGCAGGCAGCTCTACCCAAATTCGACCCCTGATAAAGCCGTGAGCGAAGCTAGCATTTCAAGATACCTTCCTTGCATTGTGCGTGTGAAAGTTTGCGCAATGTCAAGGACCTGCTTCAAAGTGATCATGCATAGCTCCTTGTAATCCCATATACGTTCTAGGGTCCCAAAGCCTGCTTGTGTAAAAAACCTCCATGTTGCCCACCTGAGAACTAGCCTTTTGGAATAGTGTCTTAGGAGTTTTGCCTATTACGAAGCCTGGCTCGATTACAATAAGTATGTCACATATGGATCAGGTGGTTGCCGCACAGGGGACTATTTATGCTGGTTGCATCTCCCAGGGCACATAGGCACCAGGTCAGTGATGGTTCCTCTTCTTATGGCCTTGTGAACCTTGAAGGCTTCAAACTAGACCTCGCGCAGATCTAGCATCTACTGGGTTGCTGTTGAGGAACTCAAGCTAAGTTACCATCATGGGTATTTATATGTAGTAATGACTATGGTTTCCCCCATATACTAGCTTAATTTAAGTTCCTTAACAGCAACCCAGTCTAGCGGCTGCTATGGCGAAGCACTCGAGAACATGTGCAGCTGTGTAAATGTAAAGTTACATCAGCGAGCCAATCAATGGGAATACATGCTTGGAGCAACGAGTCGGGTTGAGAGCGTGGGATATGGGTAGTTCCCAAAATTAGGGTCCCATTGTAGTGCCCCTAAATATTGGTACCGCAGTAGCATAATATAACCTATAACCCAACGGGGCCCACAATTTTGAGAACAAGCAGCACTGCTTGTGCCCACTATTGGCACAGAGTTTTCCAGGGAGCCCAATACCCCCTTACTCAAGGAATAATTGACTATGAGCTATGGTCTAAACTCCTTGAAGGAGGTTATATAGGGGATTATATAGGGACTACTATAGGGGTTATAAAGGGGGATAGCTCATATAGTGGTAGCGAGTAGGGTTAAACCCTAAACCCCAAACCCCAAACCAGACCCTAAACCCTAAACCCTAAACCCCATGGGTCCTTTCCCGAGCAGCTTTCCACCAAGCAATGGCTCAGCTGACCTCTCACTGACATGGAGCCATGTAAGCATCCCTTGATCACTGCGACTCCCGGTTTTCAAAACCTCTACAGTCCCCCTAGAATATAGGGTATATGGGGATATTCTTATAGTGTAATATACCCAAAGCCATATTCTATCTACTTAAGGGGGACTCTAACCCCAATGTGCTGTCATTGCTACCGGACTGCTGCCAGTGACCCACTAGCATTACAATTTTGCAGCACTTTTGTGGGGGAAATCCCTCACCCTGAAGCTTTACCCTTCAATCCTATGCCCTGATGTGGAAGTCTGGATCATTGGGAATGTTGTCCGCTCAAAAGCCATGTACAATTACACTATGACACACCTGCAAAAACCCTGTTCTGCTCATCGTGGGACCTGCATTGCACTGCTGATTGAAACTGTCAGGTCCTGAACGAGGAGACCAACGAAGTTGAATGTGACTCGGATCACACTTGAAGAATCATGGAGCCCTACTTGGGAGAATCAATAAGCAATATAGAAGCATGAATACTTGGTAGTGTTCTTCCCTCATAATCTTTGAAAGAATATGGTATCAGACACTGCAAATCTCCATGAGAAGTATGCGCGGCCTTCAGACCACGGTTGTCTTAAATGGAAATTTGAGGTGCTTGTAAAATCGTTGCCGGCTGGCGCTGGGTCCAGGGTTTAGCGTTCAGGGATGTCCGGGTTCATGGTTAAGGGTTTGGTCACAGAGTTTAGGGTTTTGGGTTTAGTGCGCTGGACTGAATCAGAATTTCAGGTTCGAAAGGGTCATTTCTTGGTTCAGTACATACACTGGACACTTCCCTGCATTCAGGTGGGTAGTTGCGTGATCAAGTACTTGGCATTCAAATTCTGAAAGATCCTTGGAAACCCTGCTTGTGATGGACATCTTTAGGAAAGTCTGTTTAGAACAACATCATTGGGGTTAAACTGTCTGCAGCATCCGGGGATACCGTCTAAACTCCGAGTATCCCTCTTAATAACCCCATATACAAGTCCCCTAGGTATATAATCCCCTGTATAGCCCGCTTGCCTTACAGGAGTTTAGACTACGGCTCATTTTGGCTCGCTGAGCAGATGCGCGGGCAGTAGCCGTGCGTAAGGATTAGCATCAACGGCAAAGGGATCACCGCAAGCTGCTTCGGCTCAATACTCTTGTAGTCAGCCTTCATAGTTAAGCCTAGCTATATAAATCATGACGACTATGGTTCAAGGCACGTGAACAATCTTTGCATCCCTGTTGTCCCGACGGGCAGCTGTGGCCCGTGCACGGCTGGAGAAAAAGGTTGCCGGCATCATATTCTCATTGTACCACGAGCATCAGGAACAAGGGAACAAGGATTCGTCTCTTATCAAGCCTCAGAGGGCTTGGCCATGCTTAGTTGCAGAAAGAGCGCTTTTCGGCTGAAGGCCTGCGAGATAGACTGACCACCAGAAAACAAGCTTACTTTTCGTATTTTTCTGGCGCCCTGCTTCGGCCACCCGCCCAGATGACTTGGGTTTTGAGACCCTAAACCCTAGACCCTAAACCCTAATCCCCAAAGACTGAACCTTAAACCCTAAACAGTAGCTTCCATTTTCTTTTCCATTACCCCAATATAACCCCAATATTACCCCAATATGACCCCGATCCCCAATCCCAAGACTTAGGTTTTGAGATCCTAAACCCTAATCCCTGACTTAGGTTTTGAGATCCTAGCCATGAATCGCATGGTGCGGATTCTGCTAACTCTTTTGGTCGCGTTGCCAAAGTGCCTTGGACCCTTCTGCACGGTGGGAATGCTTGGGTCAGCCACGCTGTTTAGGGTTTAGAGTCAGGATTATAGGGATTATGTAGGGTTTATATAGGGATAATATGGGAGTTATATTGGAGTTATATTGGGATAATGTGAAATTTTATGGGAACTACTTTTTTTTTTTATAATATTTTTGTTTTTTATGTTGAGGGTACAGACCCTACTGAGCCTCGTTCTCCTTGATGGCTCGTGGCAAGTATCTTTTTTCAGGAAGTGGTTGGTGCATGACTGCCAAACCTAGTCGGTACGTTGGAGGAGGTCGTCTTTGGTTTCAGTTGTTTTCTCTCTGGGTTCTGTACTTGTCAAGTTATAGAAGGCTACCGCAAAAGTATAGGATACGCGGAAATACGTAGACATTTTTACAAGCTGCTTTTCTTTGCCCCCGAAATCCACAACCTGGTTTTTCAACTGCGGCATCCCTGAGGTGTCTATTGCGAGAATCATGTGATCCAAAGTCTAAACTTAAACTCCTTCAAGGGGGGTTATATAGGGGATTCTGAAGGGGACGATTACAGGGGATAGTAAGGGGGATACTGAGAGTTTAGATTCTGGCTCATGTATAGGCTTGCGAGCTGTAGGTTTGGGGCTTTCGAACGTAGGCTTGAGGTCAGTAGGTTCCCCTAAACCCTAAACCCAGGAGAATTTCAGCCTGTAAGATTCTTGGGGGAAAGCTCTTGCAGATCTCCCCTACATGTGAGACTTTCAGCACAAGCCCGAAACCCATAGCCTTTCGCCTTACAGCTTTGAGCCCTGACTCCAGATCTCAGGGGTTCCCCCTGCTACCCCAATATAGTGCCACCCCATGCGTTTCCTCCTTAATTATCCTTGGATATCCCTCACCTTAACTAAGGGAACCTAGGGAGGGCGGGAGAGTAGTGAGCCCATGAAAATCACAGGGTTGCCGTGGCCTTCATCCTGATGTTCATCGGATGTCGGTGGCTTGCTGCCACCCAGTCCTTCGCGGACCCGCAAAGGGGGAGCTAGGGGCATTGGCGAGCTTTAGGGTTTGTACCTAGAAAGCCTGGAAACCTAAAATCCTCTATCCCAAAGTGAAAGGAAATCAGAAGGAACGTAGATGAAAATTGTGGACTACTGGCCTTTTAGGTAGGCATGGGAGTAAATTCTGGGCGGGGCCTTCGGGTGGTAGTTGAGTCGATAGCTTTCCATCTGCTCTGCAGTTAACTCTGTTGAGGTCCAAAACACCTGCAAACCCACAAAAGCTGAGGCAAGCCTGCCTCCAAGGTTTAGGGTTTAGGGTTTAGGGTGTGGCGTGTAGGGTTTAGGGAAGTTTTAGGGTGTAGGGTTTAGGGTTCAGAGTTACCAAAATACTGGAAGCCCTCAAGACCTTTGCCCCCAACACCGCTAAACCCTATACGCTCCCCGAAAAGCCCCAACCCACAACCATTCACCCCTTGAGGATTTAATCCTCAATGCGTTGGCTTTGGAGTTCGTCTTTTGCCTGCACTTTCTGGTTTTGGGTATTTCGGAAATTTTAGAGTCGCCTTGTACCCATATAGTCCTTATTGCAAAGGCCCAAGAGAGGAATCATGAATATCAGAAGATCCCGAATGTGTTGGTTTGGGTGCTGAATGTGCGATGCTTTTTGGGGCTTGAAGCTCGAGGTCTTACAGTATATGCTGAGTATTACGAGGGTTTTAGGGAGGTATAATAAGGATTAGATTGCCATGTGTTCATTGGGTCCATTTGGCCATTTCCCCACTTCCTCATCTGTAATTTAAGGCCTTAGCATCTACCGTGCTTCGTATCAAGAGGCATCTTACTTGGAGATTCTTCCAGCGAGAAGCGCGAGGACCCCTAGGTAGTAAGCTCTGAACCCTGAACCCTCGACCTTCAACTGTAAGAGCGGCCCTAGAATAGCTTAAGTCGAAGGCTGGATTTTGATTCCTAAGCCCTAAACCCTAAGCCCTAGATATCCCCATATATCCTCTATATACCCCTATGAAAACCCTTTAAAGGTACCCTGTTCCCTAGCTACTTCGGACTTCTTGGAGCAATGGAGAGCATGGCATCCAGGCTTCTCATGTGCTAGCAGTACAGCATGGGCTCTTTGGGTTTCAAAGCCTACTTTTACTTACTGGTTCTTCGTAGGGAATATGATTCCTATATAATCTCTCGATAGTATATTTCCTTATTCTTCCCTACCAAGAAGCACCAAGTCTAAGTCTGTAGGGAAGCATTCTATCACCTCCCACTGAACGCCACAGAGCAACGTTCCTTGACTCCCTTTGATGAGCATGCCTGTGACCAACATGTCTTCCAGAGACAAAGTCCCCCCAAGACTGCCTTAGGTTTACTCCCTTTGATGAGGATGTCTGTGACCAACATGTCTTCCAGAGACAAAATCCCCCCAAGAAAGGTCATGGTTTAGGGTGTAGGGTTTAGGGTTTAGGGTTTAGGGGTTCAGGGCTTAGGGTTTAGGGGACAGATGGTTTTTCACGTAGTGATGTGGTGCTGGCAGGTAATTGGAATTGACGAGCTCATGTTCGAAGCGTTCACGCCTGCCCACATAGGCCAGATGCCAAAGATCAAGTCCGGAAACGCTAGCTAATACCCAAAAAGCTACACTTGCAATGACCCTTGCAGCCGAAACTCAATCCCCAAACTCTCAACCCAGGACCCTGAACCCTCAACTTTGCAAAGCCTTTCGGCTCCTTCCTTGATGTGGGGCTTTCCGAAATTGAGTCCTTACAACGAGGGTTGGGGTACTTGGGGATAGGTGAGGTGTACCCTTACTCTGGGAAATGTTTATAAATGCTCGTGTCAGCTTGCTTGCTATGATGACCCCTGTCTAAGTTGCTTCAAGGCATGCTGGACCTTTCCCGAAACCCTAAACCCTCTAAAAGCCATGAAGGATTTGGCCTGGTTCCTAGACCCTCACGCCCCTATGGTGTGAGCGAGGCCGGTTTATAGAGCAGACAAAGATCGCCCATCCGAAGCAGGCCGACATGTCCGAGATGGATTCTGGATTTCAGGTCTAATCTGTAGTCTCCTTAGGAATCATTTTCAATTTTAAAAAGTACAACCCTAAGGAATTATCAGGCAACTGTTTTCATTGTAGGTCCAAGGAGACGACAGTAATGACTTTAATTATGTGGATCGTTGGGACAGTGTTAGGTTGCCTGTCAGGGACAGCTCAAAAAGTCTAACCCTTGCGAGGGGGTTGCCTAGGCAATGCCTTGAAAACCTCCACCGCGGCTGGAAGGCTACTGAGACATGAAGTAATCTGCGTTTGGCTTGATATCACTTGTTTAGTTAATTCTTGTATAGTAGCTCCAGCATGCAGGACTGCCCAAAATGCTAAAGCCGGCCAAGGCTCCCAGAAGAGCCAAGAAAATTCTGGCTACAAGTGCAGCTCACATGCCCTCTGGTTGTTGGCTCTGGGTGCTCCAAGCTTCCAAAGACAGCATGAACTGGATGGGTGCTGCTGTATCCTTGCCTTTGCCAAATGCGGTCCTGCAAAGAATGCGATGACATGCGCCCAAAGCCCTTTCATCATCATCCTTGTGCGGGCACGTCAGGTTGGAAGTACTTTTTGGGGCCTTTGGCCTTTGTCTTCAAGGGTAGCAGTCCTCGATGGGGTTCGTAACAAGCGGGCGATTACGCAACCCACCTTTCATGGCGGACATTGATGGCGCAGGTCGATCCGGCACGCTTGCTTGCCTCCCCACAGCCAGGGTACTGTAGCACGCACGACAGGCCAGGTATGGATCCTAGAAGGTTGCAGGGCTTTCGGGAAGCCTGGAGGATCCAGGGGCCTCCCAGGCGCCTCCCAAGCCCTCCCAGGGCCCAGGGTGGAGCTGCATCCCGCCAGTATTCAGATAAATTTCGGAACCTAATGGACAAGTGTCGAAGGCTGTTCCAGTCCAGTCAGGCACCAAATTTTCAAGTCGGTGATTCTTGCATGTTCAGAGCTGGCAGTACCATTCGTCCTTCATGATCAACTCCAAGGCGGTGGAGTTCAAGCGGCCCACCTTCCCAGCAGCCTTTCTCAGGGGTGTTCCAAATACCTCGACGTTTTCTGGGGAGGTTTAGCCACAGGACCCTCAAGCTCTGAGCCATTCCAGAAACCCAGCTCTGAAATTCTTGAGACGAAGCAATTATGTTGCTGAATTATGAAATGAGCGAGATGGACCTAATTGAGTTTAGGTCCTAAACCCAAAACAGGTATAGGTTTGGGTGGTTTGCCGNNNAAGCAACAGAACGGCTAACGAGTCTCACAATCCATGAATCATGTGAATCACTGCCGCTACGCAACATTGCAGCAAACCCTGCACCTTAAACCCAAATCAAGACCTCTCTGGCTTAATTCTCGAAGTTCTATCAAAGATTCCCAACTGAAAGTTTTTCCCGAAACGAGCGAGCCCCTAGGCCTGCTCAGGCCCGTGGGTGGTTTAGGGTTTGGGTTCAGGATTTAAGGTTTTAGGGTTTAGGGTTTTAGTGCAAACGCACCAAAAATGCGAATCTTGCCATGGCCAGGGGGAGGGCTGCGGGGCCCCTGCCAAGGTTCCAAGAAAGAACTTCTGCGGGCAGCCCGAAGGTTTGGGGTTACTCTTTCTAGGGCGACCTGACGGGTTATTCGCCAGCGCCTGCTGGGTCCCCCGCGCAGCCCCTCCAGCTGCCTGCGGGACTGGAGCTCCGGCACAGCCGGAAGGCGTTTGGCTCCGGAGCGGCCTCGCTTGCCGTCTTTGCTCGACGGGCCCGGGCTCACACAGTTTAAGGTTTAGGTTTGAGGGTTTAGGGGCGTAGGGTTTAGGGGTTTAGGGTTCAGGGTTTTAGGGTTTAGGGTTTTAGGGTTTAGGGTTTAGGGTTTTAGGGTTTAGGGTTTTAGGGTTTGGGTTGTTAGGGTTTGGGGTGTTAAGGTTTGGGGTTTAGGGTGAATAAAGTGTCAGGGTTTTGTGGCCATGCAAAGGAATCGTGGTATACTTTGTCGAGAATCGAGGACCTGTCCTGAAATTGACGAACCATGTGCTGATTTACAGGTTGTTTGCCCCTCAGAATCTAGAACCCAGTGGACCGGCCGGAATAGAATAAATCCTGGGATTGCTGGGAATTATAACCTTAACCCAGAACCTTAAACCGATGTTGATCCTCTAGAAGGTGCTACGGCTTTTGTGGTTCAATTTTGAAGTCCATTCTGTTGCCTGGACAGGCTACAGCCGAGGGCTTCGAGCATCTTAGCCGGGAATGGAACGGATGGGTGTTACGAGCTTTTGAGTACACAACCTGAAAACTTTGTGGCTTTAGTAGTGGTGTTTCAAGGGCGTTTGGGTGGACGTTTTGCAGGTGTGTTTCCAGCCCCCAAGCAAGTTCCCGCAACGACAATGCTGACTATCCCACATTTTTGGTTTCAGTGATTGGATCTGGCACTTGGTTTACGTAAATGCTTTCCGGTCAACAGTAAGATTCCTAGAGCCATAAGCCCTAAGCCCTAAACCCTAAATCCTAAACCTTAAAACCCAGTTGATGGTAAATCTAGGCCTAGGCCGGCAAGGTCCTGCTTCGCGGTGGGTTTCAACTCCATAGAACTGTAGGTCCATCTTTCCATTTGATCTACAGTCTAAACTCCAAGCATCCCCTTTCATGATCCCTATAATGCTTGCCTATATACTCCCCTAAATAACCCGCTTGAAGGAGCTTAGACTATAACTCATTTAGTGTTTCAAGGGTTAGGTGTCAGGGTAACGGATAGTAGTCTTTGTGTGGGGTTTTTCAGGTTTTGTGGTTGTCTGTCCATTCTGTATGCGGGGTGGTAGGGTCCTTTGACTGACTGTGTTTTTGCTGATCACATCAGAAATAGAACATTAGCCTTCTTGGATGGCCAGTAGCGAAAAACGTGCGGCGTCAAAGATACATTGCCAAGGAATGGTTTGGCCAGTTATGATTTACGTTAATATAGTGGGATATAGTAGGAATTGCCAAGCTGAACGCCAGGGGAGCTAAGGCTTTAGAATCGGCCCTCTCAACTGGATCATAGCATGGCCGTGCTGCAAACATTTCAAGCTGTCGCTGTTTGATCCTTCCAGGTGTAATGACAAGGGGGCAATCAAACCCCCTATGGGAACGCGTCCTCGTCAGTGAATGCCACGCCGTGCATTTGTGCGTAATGCATGCTCACCTGCGTTTGCAAATGTATGTGTGCATGCACTTGTACCTGTACGCACAGCATGCACATGTAGTTATGCGGAACAAAGGTTATCTGTGCGCATGCAAGCGTTTTCGTTCCCATTCCAGTGTATGTGTGCAGGCATGCGTGTGCATACACGCTTGTGTGCCAAAACGGAACCATGCGTGCGCTTATGCAAGTGCATGTTCGCGGATGCACATGCATGTGTACACTTCCGCACCTATGTGTGACCTTGTACGATGTGCGCCTTTGCACTGGTGCGTGCTTGCGCACATCATTGGTCTCAGGCAAGCACGCGTACGCTGCGGTTACATGCAGCGTGTTTGTGCGAGGGCAGGTGTACGTGTGCGCATGCAAATGTGCGTGTATGTGTGTTCGCATGCCCAAGTGTTTGTGCTTGCGCGCATGTACCCATAACTGTACAAATGTGATGGAATGTGCATGCGCATGCGCGTGTGCACACACGCATGATGACGGATGCAGCTACGCGCACATGTTTGTGCGCCTGCATGCATTTGTGTAAGTTTGCACAACATTGTACGTGCATACGCACATATGCGTGTGCTGGTGTGCGCGTACAGACGCATGTGTGCATTTGCAAATGCATGAGCGTGCGAACACATATGTGGCAATGCGCAGGCACACATTGGTATGTGCACATAGGCGCAAACATGCAAGCACATGAATGTTGGGTGCGCACATAAGGCACGGTCGCACACATAGAGGTGTAGCCGAACACATGATATGCGCGCACATGCAATTGCATGTGTAGGCATGCACACGGACACGCACCGGTGCCTGCATGTTCACACATGCATGTTTGTTCGCACCAAATATCGCACGTGTGCATGTGGACGCACATACGTGTGTGCGCGCAAACACATTGCATGCAAACATATTCAAATGCATTCGCACGCACGCACGCATGTGCATGCACATACACATTCCTGCATCCGCACACATTCGTACGCAGAAGCCCATCTGCGCGCATGCGTTCGCACACGTATGTGTGTATGTGGACATTTGCATGTGCATACGTACGCATGTGAGAGCCGAACATGCGCACACATCTGTGTACATCCGCACATGCGCATGTGCGCACGTGTCATGGCATGTACGTTCAAATACAAGGGATTGCATGCGTGCACGTACACACGTATGCAAACGACTCGATAATTTGTAGCATCCCGCATACATCGAGCATTGTACGCGCACGCGTGGAAGTTTGTTTGTGCGCATGTGCGCGCTGTTATATGTGCATTTAAACGGACGGCATGCGCATGTGCGTGTTTGCTTCCAAAATATTGCGCCACCAGAGGTGCATGAGAGATTGCAAATACATGTGTGCGCTTGCGCACGCATGCATGCAATTGTGTGGGCTTGCACATGTATCGGTGGTATGTACATGTATGTGCGCACAGACACATGTTGTGTGCGTGGACACACGTACGTGCGCGCATGTGCGTGGTGGGCTCCCGCACATGTATGCGCGAGTACAAATGCTTGCATGCGCATACAGATGCCTGTGTGCGTATACACATGCATGTACGCAAGTGTGTGGGTTCGCACATGTATGGGTGCCCATGCACATGTATGTGCGCACAGACACATGTTTGTACGCCCAGACAGATGTTTGTGTGCGCGGACACGTATGTTTGCGCATCTTCGTGGGGGGGATCACGCACATGTATGTGCGAGTACAAATGCTTGCATGCGCATACAGACGCATGTATGCACTTGTGTGGGTTTGCACACGTATGAGTGCACACGCACATGTATGGGTGCCCATGAACATGTTTGTACGCCCAGACAGATGTTTGTGTGCGCGGACACGTATGTGTGCGCATGTTCGTGGGGGATCACGCACATGTATGTGCGAGGACAAATACTTGCATGCGCATACGGATGCATGTGTGCGTATACACATGCATGTATGCAATTGTGTGGGTTTGCACATGTATGGGTGCCCATGAACATGTATGTGCGCACAGACACATGTTTGTGTGCGCGGACACGTATGTGTGCTCATGTTCATGGTGGGATCACGCGCAATTATGCGAGTTTGCACATGTATGGGTGCCCATGCACATGTGTGTGCGCACAGACACATGTCTGTGCGCACAGACACACATTTGTGTGCGCGCACACGTATGTGTGCGCATGTTCATGGTGGGATCATGCGCATGTAAGCGAGTTTGCACATGTATGTATTGTTGTCCATGCACATGTGTGTGTGTGCACAGACACATGTATGTGCGCACAGACACATGTTTGTGTGCGCGGACACGTATGTGTGCGCATGTTCGTGGTGGGATCACGCGCATGTTTGTGCGAATACAAATGCTTGCATGCGCATACAGATGCATGTGTGCACTTGGGTGGGTTTGCACATGTATGGGTGCCCATGCACATGTATGTGCGCACAGACACATGGTTGTACGCCCAGACAGATGTTTGTGTGCGCGGACACGTATGTTTGCGCATCTTCGTGGGGGGGATCACGCACATGTATGTGCGAGTACAAATGCTTGCATGCGCATACAGATGCATGTGTGCGCACACACATGTATGTTTGTGCATGTGCACATGTACGTTAGTTTACGTGCAACGCATGTATGGTGCACAGAAATGTGTGCGTGCCTGCACACACATACATGTGTACACGTGCACGTGCCAATCACATCCAGGTGCCGCAGGTGTTGTGTACGTGTGTGCATGTATGTGGTCGCATGTGCAATATGGGTGCGAATGTGCATGTGTGTGTTTGCACACGCTTGGTTTGGACATGCATGTGTCTCTGTGGGCATGCGCAGCACGAATGCACATGGTACAATTCCTCATAATTAGGCGTGTGCATGTGTGCGTATTTACATGTATCCGTGTGCATGCGTATGTATGTGCGGGCTTGCGCATGTAGGCATGTAGGTGCGCGCATATATACATGCATGTGTTCGCATGCGCATGCATGCATGCATGCATGCATGCATGCATGCGCCTGCACATGTCGGTGTGTTCCCAAACATATGTGCAGCGCATAAGCGCACACACGTGTGCGGGCGCACACGCATGTTCCATGTACGTGCGCGCGTTGCATTCCCGTGAAAACCTTTTCTGGTGCTGCCCATGAACATGCATATGTGTGTACGCATACACGTGTGTGCGCGTGCATGTGTGTGCATTCGCATGTTTATCCTCCAGCCCGCGTGTTTGTTTGCACACATACACAAGTTGTGAGCGCATGCGTGTGTGCAGGCATGTGCATGTGTGCCCATGCACGTGTTTGTGTGCATGGACAAGTCCTCCCCAGATTTCCTTTATTCAATGAGGGGCTGTCCTTTCGGCCTGCTTAAGACCCTTGATTATTTGTTAGCTCCCCCTCACCATTCTCGTAAAGAGAGGCACAGGTGCCCAGACGGAGTCAGCTTCCCCTATTTTACCAAGAATTTGGTGTGGCTGCCTGCAGTTTACCGTCCGCTGTTTTATGGAAACAGAAATGACCATCCGGGGGGTGTATCCCCCGCCGTCCCCCACCCATAGTTTGAAGGCGGCATGCGCATGCACATGGTTGCATATGCACGCGCGCCAGAAAAATGTATACGTGTGCCCACCAGAATCCGACTGTAAGAGCGCATGCACATGTATGTGTACGCAAGTGAATGTATACTTGCGCATGCCAATGGTGTGCGTGCTTGCACGCACGCGCATGTGAGGGCTTGTGCATTTGGAGGGTCCTCATGCTGTTTGAGAAAGGAACGGGTGCTATGCGAGTTCCTCTCCATGTTTTTTTCTCGATTCCGCGGGTGTCCCGCCTCAGCACTTTGGTACTGGCGCACGGATGCGTGGAAGATTTGTCAGGAGGACCAATAGGGCATTAAGGGCAAGAAGGTGGATCGGATTCCAACTGCATGTCACCCCTGGCATACCTGCTTACAAAGCCAAGGCACGAGTCCACCACATCTCTCGTGCTGAGCCTTGTACGCGGTGGATTTGTCAGTTTTGGGCCCAGGGACTCACGGGCATCAAAAGCTTGGGGTTCGGGGTCTGGGGCTTGGCGTTCATTGTGGCTGAAGCTAGGCTTCAGTAAGGCCATGCCCAAGGTGTGTTCTGGGTTCTGGGATTACGCAGTACGTCCTGTGCAGTTTTGTTTGGCAAAGTACATGCAATGCATCTTTCACAGGAATTTCCTCAACCGATTGACAATAAACCGAAAACTGCTAAACGAGAACCCGTAGACCATGAAGCCTGGGCTCAAAGACCATAATTCCAAAACAGACCGCCGAACTGCGTCCGAATGGGAGTCCTGCAACGTGCTACAAACTGTTAGGGTTTAGGTTCCAGGGGATGTGTGCTAAGCCATCCGCATTAAGCAAGTTGCCATCGGGTTCTCAATCTTGACCCCATAATCAGGAACGCGCTCGCGATCGTCCTGAATTTGGGATGGTCATATATGTATTTGAACAATTGGCAGCAGGTGGCTTGGCGACAAGGTTACCGGTTCAGGGTTTAGGGTTCGTGGCTTTGGGTGTTCAGGGATAACACCTATGAGGACTATAGCCAACCTCATCTTTCTCAACCTTGTCAACACCTTTCGGTCGCTACTGTCGTCACCGCCATCATTATGATTATCGTGATTGTGAGGTTCGCAGGCTAGATTTTAAGGTTTGGGGCTCAGTGGTGGCATTTGAGGTGTAGAGTTCGACAGGGTTTTGGGGTTGAACTTCGCAAGGTTTATTTAGAGGCTTTCTGAGGATTGTAAAAGGATTCTTGCGTTGATATTTTTAAAGGATACATTGTATGATTTCGAGGCTTCTGTCGAAAAGGAACAAAAAACGAATATTTGTGCGTGGGGTGGCGCTAAATCCAAGACCCTACCAGAAGGAAGTATGCTGCTGTGGTGCACTGCCCTGAAGTGACAACTCTCATTTCGCTCTTGGGACAAATTCCCGCCCCCTAATATTAAACCCCCCGCCACCACCCTAATATTTAATATTCCCCGTATATTATGTATGATATACAATAATGGGGAGTATTCAATATTGGGGGGGGCGTGGGGGGGTTTTGATATAAGGGGGAGGGACTAATAATCTGCAGAGTGCCAGGCGAAGCGTTGAGTTCAGGGTCTTCCTCCAGCAGGACACGACCTTACAATCAATCACGTCTTCTTATTTGAGTTTTTCCTCAAGTAGTTGATTGTAGAACTATTCAACTCCTGCTAGATGACTGCTGGCCTTTTACGCTCCATACCCGACATCACACCCTCAACGCTAAAAGTCCTGGGTTGCCCACAGGTGTACCCAAATAAAGATTCCTTTATGTTAGCATATCCCTTCGTTCCCCCTTAAGCAGATAGAATATGGGGTATATGGGCATCTTATTATGAGATATTCTAAACCCTGCACCCTAATTTCTGGGCCCTAGGCTCCAAGGATGTGATGCCACAAACCCTACAGCCAACGGAACACAACCACTCAATGCGGGCTCATAGGGTTTAGGGTTTAGAGTTTAGGGTTTAGGGTTGTATGGACTGCCGAGACTTGTGGTGCAACGAGCTTTGTAGAACTGGACGTGAAAACCTTTTGGGCACGCAAGGCTTGCTCATAACGCTGCCCTTGTGCCTCAAGCGGGCCCTCTAAATCCCAGGCCCTAGCCCTACAACCCTGAAGCGTAAGCCCAACAACCCCAAAACGCAAACCCCACGGCCCCAACCCCACAACCGAAGCTCAGACGTCCGCCTGAATTCCTAACCGCCGAACCTTTCATTGCACCAGGTCCTTCCAAACTTTCCTCATGATATTCGTGAGCATTGTAGAGACAGGCTCCTGGGTTTGGGGTTTTGAGATGCAGCTTTGAGCCCAGCATTTCAGGGTTTGCAGATGAGGCTTTTGCCTTTAGATTTAATAGTGCCCTGTGTACTTCAACCCATGGAAGGTCCAACTGTGCATGGTCATGTAAGCTATAGTCTAAACTCCTAGTATCCCCTTTAATAAGCTCTATGGTACTCTCCTATATAATTCCCTATATAACTCCCTTTAAGGAGTCTAGACTATGTCTCATGTAACCTCTCTATTCTCAAGCCGGTGTAAGGTCTGGGAGCCTACATGGAGGGTTGTCAGCGTTATGGTCCAATCCTGGGGTATCCGAAATGATCGAGTAATCTGCCCCAAATCCTATACAACCCCAATATAAACCCTATATAATCCCTATAATCCCTATAGTTTCCATTTTCTTTTCCATCATCCCAAGAAGACCCCAATATCGTAGTTTCCATTTTCTTTTCCGTTATCCCAATAAAACCCCAATGTACAGTAAGAGCCCCAAACCCAAAGCATTGCACCATGTGTGAAGTTCAGACTTCGCAACCTCAGGCTTTGTTGCAATGTAGAAACTTGCACAATTCGGAAGCTTATCCCCAGTATAACATACCCACACTTCGTTCGGACCCCATTTGAAGAGTATTTGCATCTGCAATACATATCTACACATATCTCATGCTTCGCTAACCATGGCTCCACACACCTTTAAACGTCCTGCTGTTGTTTGTCGCAGCGCAGTGTACCCAGACCCTCCCCATACTCTCTAGTAGTGCCTAGGTACCCCCTTTTAGAGGTTACATCTCCCCAATGATGGGCACTAGGGGGGTCCTTGTAGGAAAAGCAGCGTAAAGGCCTGGGATGGGGGCCTGCGAATGAAATCTGAGTCTATCTCTGCTTGTTTGCTTCATGCCAAGCCAGCATGCTTAGAAAGGGCCGTGGTACGTCGGGGCATGCCCGAATAAGTTGTTGGTTGATAGTGGGGAATGAAGGAATGGAAAAGAAGATGGACACTTACTGCAGTATTAGGGGTTGTATAGGGGGCTACTACAAGGACCTATTCCTCCATCCCCTAATCTTGACAACGGGTACGAGTCCCCCACTTCGGGGTGCCTATTCCGAGATAATGGGAAGTTATAGATGGGGTTAGAAGCGCCGTACCTTATTTTGAGTCTGCCTAGCTCTCCATTCAAAGTTCAAGCTACTTGCAAGCTGATTTTTGGATTAGACTTTAGGTCCTTCTGTGTAGGTACCTCTTCTTAGGCCGCAGTAGACCTCGAACTGTTTGGTAGGGCTGGATTGCTAGGTTCCAGGAGTTGTACACAATCAGATGCCCGTTCTTGGGAAATCCGGACGAATGCTTTCCCTTCGGTGAAGGGTGAGACTTGGCCAGACCTAGTTGAGCAGTATTTTTTTGGGGTACTATGGTACCCAATTTAGAGTAAGATTGTATCTTCCTTTTGGGTATAGTATCTTAAATAATGAATATTATCTTACTAGGTTCATTCAACCACCAACAAAACACTACTCAGTTTTGAAACTTATGGTTTAGGAGGATCTTTTAGGGTGGGGGGTCCTCCTAACTTATGGTTGTTTTTGTTCGGAGTCGAAGTTGCAGCATTTTGCGCAAAGAAACTCTGAAACTCTATAGCTCCCCTTAAGTGGATAGAATATGGGGTATATGGGGACCTTAAAAAATGAACCCAAAGCCATATTCTATCTACTTAAGGGGGACTGTTCCAGAGCTTTGGCTCAAGGGCATTCCTCCTCTCATCTTTGCAAATAGTTGCTCAAGCTGCGCGCAACATGGCCAACAAGCGCACTGCAACTGCAACCTACCCCACTCTCCTGCGCCCATCTCGCTTCGAGTCCAAGGAAAAGCAGCCAGGCCAGATTCATCACAATTTGGGAATTTCCAAAAGATAGGCGGTTTAGGGTTTAGGGTTTAGGGAGGCCCGCATATAGACCCCGATCTGTTGATAACCCGTTGCTTAAGGCACTCCTGAGACGGGGTCACTAATTTTAGAAGAGCCAATTAGTGATTGACAGGCTTGTGAGTTATTCTTGGAGGACCTTCCAGGAGTTTCTACGATTCTACTACTATTACTGTTATTACTATTATTATTGCTGCTGCTATTATTGTCATTATCATCATTCCCCAGCTTTGGGCAGTACCACCGGTCTGCTCGCAGCCGGACCGTTATCCTAGATTCTGGTCTTGCCAATACTTTCACGTAACATTTTCAACGGGCGCCAGCAACGGACGAGCAGAACCAGATGGATACCAAGCGTGCTACTGTTAAGCATGTTGCTGTTAAGCATCCATGCCTCCAAAAGTGTTTCTGTGGTGGGTATGATGACGAAGTCATGGCAATGGCTGCCGTATTGATACTTCACCGCTAGTAGCAAAAGCCCTGAGAACCAGCATCATGCTTCACACCCCAAGCCTACGACTCTAGAACAGAAAAGCTACACCTCCATGCCCTAAAACAATCCAAATCCAAAACCTTAGACCAGAAATCCTGCAACCCTACCGTCAACCCTGTATCCCAAAGCCGATCTTCAACACTCAACCCTAACCCTAAACCCCAAACCCTACACCCTGATTGGAGTAATAGGCTTTGTCCGCCCTGAACCCGAAACGCGATGCAAAGGAAGGCGGACCCAGAGGTATCTGGAGATTGCCAATTTGCACCGCAAAGCCATCCAGAGGCTCGGTGGGGATTAGCAAGACTGGGTTTAGGGCTTTAAGGCGCAGGATTTGGGGCTAGGGATTCAAGTTTGGGGTTTATGGGCTCAAGCTCCTCAAAGCCTCAATTTTTTTTCATTTTTGGGAGGGTTCTATTAGGATAGTGTGAGCATGTCAGGACTCCGATGTCAGGGAGAGTTCCATGGCATGCCTAGATATCAAAGTACTAAATGAAACCCTGGGTTGCTTCAAAATATTTCCTTCGAGAAGCCTTCACAACGCTGTATCCTATCTAGGTAACTACCCTCGATGCTGGCCAAGTTATGGCAACCTCACCCTGCCCTCACCCAATATGGTGGTCATATAGATACTGGTCCCACACAAGCCTTATTTGAGACGGGCCCTCCCCTTCGGCCTGACGGGGCCGGTTGGAGGCTTCCTGAAAGCTGGAGCTGACAAAATTCAGCCAGTAAGATATCTGCCCTGGACCTGAGATTTTGATAGGCAGCGGGGGTTTGGGCTTACCCCAAGACGAGGAGGGTGGTCCGAAACAATCATTTGCTCTCAATGTTGGACCGTATCTGACCACAGTTTCCAATTCTTTTTCAATTTGATTTTCCGTTCGGTTCTCGATAATAGTAGTTTCCACTGTCTTTTCCATTATCAGGAGGGGGAGGGGATTATAATAAACCTTTCCACTCACCTAGATAGTACCTTGCTGTGGGTGGGTGGGTTTGCCAGAAAGACTTCAAACTCCTAAACCCCAAGCCCTAAACCCTGAGGGCTCTAAGAAGGCATATCAGGGCGAGGTATATCACTTATAACCCATTTGAGCTATAGTATGAACTGCTTAAAGGGGGTTGTATATAGAGAATTACATAGGGGAGTATTATAGGGCTACATCCTAAATCCTATTTTATAAGTTATAGGGGTTCTTTAAGGGGATACTAAGACTATAGCCCATTTAACAGCCTTGGTATTTTGGGGGTGTCCGAAAGCAGGCGGACCATAAGTTCTGGAAACGCTACAGCTTTAAATGCAGCCTTTTGCATCCCTATATATCATCATATGTCCCTACATACCCGTATATAATACCTACAAAATCCTACATATCCTTACATACCCCTACTACCCCTTTAGGGCCATTAGTATGTGACCTTCAGGTGCAGCTGCAACATTCCGCCTCCAGCTCCACAACGCCATCAGCCATCGCCCTGGAGCCGGTTGAGGTGCAGGACTTTGAGCTATCCAAAGAGGACGCGTTGCGATTGCAGAATGAGTTCATGGCAGCCTTCAACACTCCTGCACCTTGTTTCTACCGGTTCTGGTCCTTCTTGCCAATCATATCATTGGGTTCTGATGTGTTCATAAGTTGTTTGCATAGTTATCATGAGTCCTTGCATTCTGTGACACGTTAGGAGTATCTATACGGTCACCGCCATCACCGCCAGCATCATAACTGCCACTGCCACCACGACCACCATGGCCAACTCGAACACGACGACGTCAACTGCTACATTTACGCTCATACTGCATACTGCTATTGCTATGAATACTAGTATACCGTTTCGAGAAAAACTAACGCTCCCCCCGCTACTACTCCTCCTCCTTTGGGCGGTGACGATGGTGCAAAGGCAGCTACTCTTACTATTTACCTGTAGTCTAAACTCTTTAAAGGGGACTGTATGAGGGATTATATAGAGGACTTCTATAGGGGTTACGCAGGGGGATACTGGGAGTTGAGACTGAGCTCATTGCTATTGTTTACTGTGCAGCTTTTTTGCCGCGGCTTCGACCCATACTGCTTGTACTTCTCATCGTCATGGTACAGCTTGCATGGGACTGTGTGCTGTTTTTCTGCAGCCGTGAACTGCCCCAAATGAGGTAAGGTGTAAACCCCTTAAAGGGGGTTATATAGTATAGGGGATTATATGGGGGACTATTATAGGGATTATTAAAGGGGGTACTAGGACTTTAGACTAGCTCGAATAGCTCAAAGTAAAAGAAGCTTGCTTGTAAAGCTGGACCCAAGGACTGACCATAGAACAAAGTACTCGTGGATTCTGGGGTGAACGACTAAGTAGAGTGTCATATCCTGGAAGCCCAATAGGAATGGTCTTCCGCTTCAGCCTTTACAAAGGAGTCTGAGGAAGGGTGGGCAGAGAGATAATAATAGTAACAATAAGAGTAGTACCAATAGTAAGAATACTAGAAATGGTAATACCGATGCAAGAAAAGTAATAATGGTTCATGAAGATCAATGTTGGGGATCCTTCATACTTTTTGGGGTATGGGATTCCTTCTATTTCTGTAAAA